CAAGTTCAAGGTGAACCGCCTTCGATACTAAGCACACAAATAAAGCGATGTATGCCTTCACGACCTTTGTCTTTCGTTTACCTTCCTTCACGAAAACTGGCCCAGCGTAGTCGACGCCAGTCAGTTCGAATGGTGCGGTGATATTCACTCGGGATTCAGGAAGATTCCCCATTAGTGGTTGGATCATCCTTGGCTTCATACGGAAACATCTCATGCAATTATGGATTACCTTGCGGATGGTTGAACGGGCGTTGATGAGCCAAAATCTCTGACGAATTGCTGCCAATACTCCGGACTGGCCTTCGTGGAGTCGTTCTTCGTGAATTTTCTTGATAAGCAACTCCGTTACTCGGTGTTTTGGTGGAAGCATCAGTTGATGTTTGGCGTCAAAGGACAATTCCGAATATTGTAGCCGTCCACCGACTCGTAGGAAACCGTCCTTGTCTATGAATGGTTGCAATGCGGCCAGACGCCTAGAAATTTCACCACGTTGGACACACTGGATCTCCTCATGTAGTTCGTTTTGTTGAAGAACACGGATGATGTAACTTGTCGCCTTACGCATGTCCTGCACGGTCAATCGTCCACAGGAATCTCGCTTATCCTTAGGAGTTCGCACACGGCGAACGAGGCGTGCTATGTGAGCATAAACACGCTGCAGCTTGTAGAATGAATCGAACCGTTCAAAGCTAGTATCGAGTTTCTTCACTATCGGGTTTGCGATGACCACAGTTTTTAGTTCAGGAATCAGGTCGTCGGAAATCTCTTCTACCGGCTCCATCCTATAGGTGACTTCACGAAGAAAAACTGGACCGTTCCACCACAGCTCACATTTGTTTAATAGGGTTGGTTTCATTCCTCGGGATACGATGTCCGCCGGGTTTTCATCCGTATTGATGTAGGTCCAACGGCAGTGTTTGGTCAGTTTGTTGATTTCAGCCACTCGGTTGCGAATGAAGACTTGCAGCCGATCCAAAGGTTTCTTTATCCAAGCCAAGGCTATTTGACTATCGGACCACAATCTGATTTCGTGGACCTTATCCACCAGATTGGCTAACAGTTGAGCAGCACACAACTCTAGTCGAGGGATGCTCAACTCACGAAGGGGAGCTACCTTGGATTTGCTGCATAAACGATTAGACACTGCTGACCCGTCTTTACGAATGCAGCGAAGGTAAACACATGCGCCATACGCATATTTGGAGGCATCAGCGAAACCATGAATCTCCATTGTTTCTGTATCAGGAACCACAACGCATCTTGGAATCTTGACATTGTTGAGGTGGCTCAATGATGTCTGGAACTCTGTCCATCGCTGGAGTAATTCACCTTCCATAGGTTCATCCCATCCAAGGTTGGTAGCCCACAGGCACTGCATGATCATCTTTGCTTCGACGATCACTGGTGACACTAATCCCAATGGATCAAATAACTTCGCTATTTGGGACAGGACACGCCGCTTCGTTGGTTTGTCTTCGTTATCCGTTGGTTCAGACGACTTGAAGAACAGGAACAGGTCTTTCTTTGGATCCCACAGAAGTCCCAAAGCCTCGATTACTTCATTTGCGCTGGAGTCCTGGATGGGCACTAGGGTCTCTCGAGTTCCTTCAGGAATTCCTTCAAGCACATCTTCTGAGTTGGAACACCACTTTCGAATTGGAAATCCTCCTTTCAGCATCAACTCCTCCAAATCGCAACGTAACTTTTTGGTTGACTCAATTGAATCCGAACCAGACAGAATATCGTCCATATAGGAATCATTCAGGATAACTTCGGCCGCTTCTGGATAATCCTCACTCTCGTCACGGGCTAGCTGGATAAGTGATCTCCGACAAGTGTCCTCGCCAGAAGATTCTCTGGTACCGAGTCTGGGAGGGATCAACGAGAATTTGTCGGTAAATTTTGGATACGTCTACGGTGAAAACGTAGGTATGGGTTCGAAAACGTAGTACGATGCTGAACAGGTCACTTTGGCTGCTGGTTCCAGTCATTAGTCCGTCATTCAGGGACAGTTCACTCGCTTTGGCTTTTGCGTCAAACACAACACGAAACTTTGTGCTGCTACTGGATGGATTGAAGACACAGTGATGCGGCAGATAGTACGATTGTAGACCAGGAGGATCTTCTTCCTGCCTCACTTCACGGCAGTGACCCAACGATTGGTATTCGTCGATGAACTCCGCATACTGAGCCTTCAGGTCAGGATCTCGCGCCAATCTTTTCTCCAACACCAGGAATCGTTTCAACGCCAGGGATCTGGAACTTTTCAACTGGTCCACTGATTCACGGAATGGCAGCTGGACAACAAATCGTCCATCTTCATTACGATGATAAGTCCGTTGAAAGTGTTCTTCGAAACGTTCTTCTTCACTCGTCATCATTGCTGGTTCAGCGATTTCCTCTTGGTCGAAAAACCGCTGCAAGCATGTTTCCAATCCATCGGTCACAGCAAGGTTGACACATACTGAAGAATCTTCTTGCATTTCCTCGTACGAGCCAGCCACGACCCATCCGAACTGCGTTTCGTTCAAGGTAGGTAGGTGATCGGCAAGTTTGATTTGGCCTTGCTTCAGAATGTTGAAGAAATGTTCGGCACTAATCAGCATTTCCACTTCTCGTGGACGGTTGAATGAAGCATCGGCCAACAGTACACCGGATGGAATATGCCAGGAATCCACTCTAACATTTGCCGACGGAATGGTGCCAGTCACCTTCGGTGTGACGAGACAATCTACATTGGAAGTGAAGTTGCTGTAGTTGGATGTCATTCTTACCACCGTTCGATGGCGTATCTGGGAACGCGTACCTCCTACGCCGACTAGAGGAACATTAGCTGGGAATTTCAGCAGGTTTAATTTCTTCCCCACAGACTCCGACAACAAATTGATCTGTGATCCAGAATCCAGCAGTAATCAATCGCTGGTTTCCAAATCGTTCTTCCAGGATCTCCCATGCTCGTGCATAATTGTTGTTTTGCAGTGTCTTCAAGTCAATCACACCTGCAGCATCTGCCTTCAGCGAATTTTCCAAATGGTACAGCTTTACAGCGTCGGAATCGTTTGATCGCTGCATCATGTCCTGAAACATGGCCTTGAAGCGTGGCCATGCTTCATAACGACCGTCGAAGGTTGGTAGAGGAGTACGGTAAGACTAAGTGTGAATGATGACAGGTTGAGTTGAAGCCTGGTTCGCTCTTGCTGATGTTGAAGGCACTGACACGGGCAGGGTTGCTCTATTCTCCATCTCAATCATCTCGATCATCGTCTCTATCGTGACCAAGGTTTCATTGTAGAGGGCTTCGAATGCGATATACTTTTCCTCATGAGCATCGACGTTCTCCTCTTCCACGGAGGCGGCGATGGCATCGTGAATCTCGTTGTATTCTTGATTAATCACTTGCAGGTTCTTGGAGTAAACCCGCAATAAGGGAAGCGGTAGCCTCTTGTTCGCAGTTTCTGCTGCAGTCAGGGAATTGAAGATCCGTGTGACCTTCGCCTTTACTTGGCCACGCACCTTCACATCTTCCGAATTTTCCATTTTCCGGGGTGGGGTGTGAGGTAACATCTCCTCATACGCGAAGGTTTACGGTTACTCGGAAGGAATACTTCACACTTCGCAGGTTTTCTTGGCACGGTTCACGTTCGGACTACAATCGCAACGGTGGAACACACACTCACGAAATATCCGCTCGATTTAGTACGACACGTGGATAACGTTTCTATGGTAACCGTGACGGAAGGGCGAAAAACACTCACGGACGTCGCGACGAGGAATATCAACACGCACTAGGGCGTCGCGACGACGGAATAAAATCACGGGGTTTCGCGTTGTCAAAGCCACGCGAACGCTTTTTCACGTTGTCAAGCCACGCAAAACGCTTTTCTCACCTAGCAGCAACACGCCAGTCCAGTATCCGGTTCGAAGGACCAATGTTTTGTATTTTTCCGTGAACACAACGACGATATAGGCGGAACGGTGGACTGGGAGTTACGGACAGCACAAGGTTCACCACCGGGTACCAATTCCAGGGCAGGGTAGGCAGGGATAATCCAAACAATTCACGTACTGCTGCTATTAACTAGTTATTATTTATTCCATTCTTTAATTCTTTGTTTTTCACTGGTTGACTTCCAATTTTATTCTGATCATCCTCGGTTTAGGGGTCCCATATTTATACCAAGTTTGGCTTACTTCGAGAACATTCGAAACAAGCCTGTTACTAACGACGTTGTTACTGTTGCTAACCTAACAACGTTGTTTGCTTGTTGCTCCTAAAGACGTTGCTGACTTGGATCGTTTTAGGAAGTGTTCGTCTCTCACAATATTCATTCTGATAATGGAACAATTTTCATTGGAGCTAAGAACGAGCTTCATGCTCTATACAAAATATTACACTCAAAGAACGAGGAACAAAATATCGGACATGCGTTGGCCCGCGAAGGGATCAAATTGCATCTAATTCCACCCCGCGCACATAACTTTGGAAGACTATGGGAAGCCGCAGTAAAGGTAGCGAAGACTCACATGCTGCACCAAATCGGCAATACATCATTATTGCATGAGGATATCATTACGCTTCTTGCGCAAATAGAAGCTTGCATGAATTCGAGACCGTTGCTGCCAATGACTGAGGAGAGCAGCGACTTAGAGGCTTTAACGCCTGGACATTTTCTGATCGGTTCAACATTACACGCCATTCCTGAACCAGACTTAAGGAATGTAAAACTCAATCGACTTAACATGGCCTCAAATGCGCGCGCTAAGTGAAAAATCAATGGATAGTTATAGCATCAACACACTGGGCACATGTACACTGTAATAAAACAGGTGTTCATGAATTAAACATGAGATTCAAATTTCAAAATCATGGAAAGTTTGTATGGGCCAAGGATCATAAGTTAATATAGTTGTACGACTTCAATTCCTTGCGATATCATATAAAATTAAATGAATTTGATTGATTTTCTCATTGCACTGTTTACTAATCTTTTTCATTTCAGATCCTGATGAAAACCATGCCAACGTCCATGTTCCGTCTGCTTACCGGCCAGGAGAATCCGGTCTATATTTAAAAATGCCCGAAAAAGGTCATCGCACTTGGTTCCAGCTTGTGTTTTCTTTTGTGCAACTTAACGTAAACCCGTTCGCTGACTGTAGCTCTCATAATACACATAAGCAAGCACAACAGGAAAAAAATAATAAGAGTTATGAAACAAAACACTATCACTATTTAATCTAATGCAAACACATCTCATCAGAATCACCTTACCAAAACTCTGCTGTGAGAATCTAGATAAACAAGAAATGGAAGTTCTCTGCTAAATAAAAAAAAATGAAATAATTAAGCAAGAGGATAATTGTATCGGAATTTATTCACGCCTTGGCCTTGCAGTTATAATTGAATAATAGAGAAGAATTACTTGACAGTCGAACCATACAAGGAAGAATCGCATTTACTAATTATCATATTGCCGCTGGACAGCAAGCCACCTCAGCTACACTGCAATAGAGGTATTCAGAATAAGAAAAAGGGAACGTCACAGCTTTTTGTATTGATATCACACACAAAATACACACTCGTATGTGGAATAAGCGATAAGATAGCTTAACAAACAGTAACGCGATGTAACGCTAACCAAAGAGGATGATAAAGACGAAGCAGACAGGACAAATTGAAAACATGAAGAAAGCAAATGTTGAAAATGAAATATATTTTTTGAAATTGTTTAACAATAAGCTTAACTTAGCTAAACACGAGAGGATGCGGTGAGTCTTGATTATGGTATAAAATGAAGCATTTGGAGAAAATTTGGAAACACTGAAATCTCAAACACCTGAACGAATTGTCCATCATTTATTGACTTACTAATATTCTTACAAAAGAAAGTATAAGGTGTGCCGGCTCATTGGCATTGGTTTGGAAAGTGTACGTATCATTGCCGTATGGAGAGGATAATTGACAACAGAGGTTCTAATCTAGAAAGCAGCTGCTTAGTGGCACCAGTGTTAACCAGTTCTGATCTTTAAGTATTAAACAGACTCATTCGCTGTACTCGGTATTCTCTATCCAGAGGTCACAGAGACTTCATTATATTTGTACCGGTTCCTTATTTTCCTACTAGCGTGGACGAACAAAAATAAATAGCTGAGATGTAGACTTGCAAAGAGCTAACAGTGCAAGTAGAATCCGTGTGAATATTGTCTTTATGCCGTTACAAGATGAACAGCTTTTTTATATATAGTTTATACATATATGTACATGTAGATAGGTTTTGCTGAATCCGGATAGTAGACACAAATGAGATTGGGCCGTCCCTTGACAAAAAATAGAGCAACAAAAATATAAGAGCCATCTTTTTCTTATTGTAGGAATCGAGCTAGAATCAAAAGAAGAGGTATTATTTCCACCCAAACACTGCTGAATTTCCGTATAGTATACAATTCTTGCTTCGACGTAAACATATCACCATGTTCCGTTCCGAGTCTGATTTGTTCTTCGAAGCTGATTTAACCTACTGATAATTTGAGCACATCAGTTTGCCAACAGGATAAAGCGTAATACCGTGAATTGAGAAAAAAGCTGTCTAGAAGCGAAACAATAAATCCCACTAGCTTTGCCTAACCATAAACCAAATATACATGACTGTTGTTCGTGCTTACATATATCGCTGACAAATTGACGCTTGACTTTCATTTCCACGCATACATGTGATCGTAAAAGTGTACCTTTTTTCGGTCATCCATTTACCGTCTAAATGTCCTACCCTTAAGTGTTTTGATTTATTCTGGAATAAGATAAGGAAGCTAATAAAACAAAATTGAACAAGGCAGTGAAAAGCTAAAACAATCGGAACAAAAAGTTTACGCAAGCTTAAGACGAAAGAAATGATACTTTTGTAATTGAAATTATTAATAACAAAAAAAAAATGTCATAAGTAATTATTAACAAACATGCAAAAGTCGTCCCTCACTTAGGAGAAAAAGAAAATCAATACAAAAATCCCTAACAAAAAATGCACTTTTTATGCGCCACTCACCCGCCCGCCATAGGATCAATGAAAAAACAAAAATAATACTCTAAAAATAGTCTATGAAAGTCATAGTTTATCAATTATTTAACCGGTAACGAAAAAAGGAAAAACAGAAACAAAATAAACGTAAACAAATAAACCTAGTCTGCTAAATTAAAACAAACAAAATATTTACAAGTACCCTTGAGATTCGTTAGGAAGAAGATGATTGGAAGAGACAAAAAAAATACATGGTTAAACTGCAGCAAAACATCTATAACTGTGTCTGAATTTAGGATCGACAACATAAAACCAAAACAAGGGTCGAGAAACGACAACAACAACAACAACAACCGCTAAATATATTGCAGTTGGTGGTGGTACCGTAAGCTATGTGTAGACAAGGTATAATGGAAATGGATCACGCAAACTAGTTGCAAGCGAAGGTCACATACATGATTGTGAACACGGAAGGACGTAGGAAACAAACTTGCTGGCATGGAAAAGAAAGAAACAATGAAAAACAAGAACAACTCTAATGTAATTATGGCTAAACAAACTAAACAACACCTATAATGGGAAATGTATATTTATTCTAACAAAGAAAAACAAATATATAAAAATTTTGTGATGTAACATTCTCAAATTGTAGTTTCATTGCGGTAATAGGATCATTTTGAGTTGAACTTTATCCCGCTTTTCTAGGGCGTAAAGCATCATTGTGCTTGGAATATGATCAAGTGAAAGTATGCGAAATAAAGTAATACATTTCACTAGATTTTTACGCCACATTATTTCACTATTTATGGATTCAATCTCCTTGATCGTTCTACTTGTTTTTAGTTCATCAGCTTCTTGGCCTCCACTTCTTCTCCGCATGGCCTACAATTTCAATTTTGTAAAACATAATACACATCATTCCAATGCTTCAAAATAGACGGTTGCTGTTTTGTAAGTACCGTTTGCTTCCTTTTCACTGTTTACACATTTACACCATTACACCAATACCATTATACACACACTCACACATTTTGAATCCATCCGAATAATGGAAAATTAATCCATCACTGTTGTTACTTGATGCACAAAGCACAGAGATCTGCGACTTGAACTTAATGAAAATCACTTGCTCCTCCGAAATCCGGTAAGATACTTCCATCTTATTAGTATTCACAGCCAGCGTATTGACGAAATTGGCAATTTCGCCCAAAGTCGGTCTCACATTTCCATTTTTGAATTCAAAACCAAGGGGTGGTCACTAGAGTGATGCAAAATATGAAATTTTCGCTCCACAATAATCGGATCCTGACTAACCTCTCAAAATTTGAACCCATTTTGTGAGAAACTGAGATGGCACAAACCATTTGAAGTTTGTATGGGAATTACTATGGTAAAACCAAGATTTTTGATCATGCTTATCTAACAATTCACCATATCGGTCTGCTTCAAAAACTTTCAACTGTACTTGTAGAAAATTTTCCTAGCTACAACTTTGCTGAATACCACTTTTTGATTAAATGCAAGGATTGAAAGTTATCAATTGTTCAATGCGCTGATGTCTTATGATCATGCACAATCAACTGCTCAGCGGAAACATTGGTGCTTCTGGGGCGTTGAATGGGACACAAAAATCATGGCTACTATGTCACACTGCAAAAATAAGTGTAGCCTACAGAGCTGCTGCCTGATCATGTCATAAGTTTACCAATCTCTTAAATAATTAATAACTCTTTCCTGTCTCGTTTACCATAGAAACGATCTTTAGCAAAGTTGTTGCTGAGAAAATTTTCTATAAGAATGGTTATCGAACTGTTTCGCAGCTCAATATGGAAAAATACTAGAAGGCAATGAACAAAAAGTTGAGATTTCCCATAGTAATTTACATGTAAACTTCAAAAGGCTTGTGCGAAGTCTGTTTCTAACCAAATGAGTTGTAACTTTGGGAGGCTAATCAGGACCCGTTTTGAAACCATTTCATCAATTTGCATCAGTCTAGTGGTCACTGTACACATTTATTTTGCACCAACTTTTTCTCAGTGTGCTTCAGTGTGCCGCAACTCTTGTTATTTCAGTACCAACATTTCAAAGGGGCGTAATTGTATATGTAAACAATGGCTTTAGCCGTCGATTTTTCGCGAATAAAAGCTCACTAATGGAAAATAATGACACCAGCAGGTAGATGAATGTTTCCTCTACCAGCTAGCACTGTTATTTTGGAGAGGCAAGATTTCATTCGCGAGAAATTGACGGCTAAAGTCATTGTTTACAAAAACAATTACGCCCCTTTGAAATGTTGGCACTGATTTGTCGACAGAAAAATTCGACAGTAACAGATGTCCAGATGTTGTATGTCACTCAAGACCCTCAAGACTCAAGAGGGTACAGGAGCTGATTGATGAAAGTATGAGTTACATTGGAGGAATTACTTGTCATTGAAATGATTTTTCACATTTTCAGCAACCGAACATTCACGAGTACTACAAACCACTGCACCAAATGGAGACGGCCTTTTCTGGGGCCTCCCGTCGACCGGTCGTGAACGCCATCAAGGACGGTCACATTTAGTTTGAAATACAACGCAGCCGCAAGGAGCTGCGCATCGTCCAGGAGGACATTGTCGATTTTCGATTTCTCGACTTCTCAATATATGTCTGGGAGGCCCAGTTGAAGGAAGAAATACATCCCTGCTAGAGGTTATCTTGGCTAATTTCACGTGCACCCTTGCACTTGGTGGCAATTTGGGTGCTTTGCTCAGATCCCATAGCTGCAGAGGGGAACGATCCGGGAGAATATCCTATGGGGAGCAATGTACGACGATGCTAGATTCAAGGTGGTGATTCATGCTTCTGACAGACGACAGCACAAGTTAGTGAACAAGGTCGAACGCTATCATGTACCTTCTAAAGTATAGCACTGCTTGCAAATTTTGTAAATTAATTAATGGCTACTTCTGTTTGAGAGCTGAACTAATTTTCTGTTTTATTACTATTACTACTGCCAGGTTCTCGTTAATAAAGAAAACTAAACTATGCCAGGTTAAACTATCGTGCCATAACTCGTGTTAGACGAGTAGGTATCCACTGGGGCATATTATTGGTGTAACCATATATTCCGGATTGATGATCACCTCCGGTAGTATCCATTGGCTGTATTGGGAATGTCTTTTCAGCACCGATCTTCAGTGGCAGACCTCTCGACGATATTTGTGGTCAACCGGTGTAGGTTATAGTCGCTATATTTATAGTCTGGCGAATAGAATCTCGGGAATAATTTGAGCTGTCAAATAACGGAACCAATCTAGCATATAACGACCAACAACAGAAAAGAGCACATCAGTTTTTGCGAACAAAACATCGGAAAACCTTTTCTCGTGACTCAAGGCTCGTCTACGTAAACCAATAAAAATACTGTTAATATGCGTTCGGTTGGCGAGGAAGGAACTGTCAAAGTTTTGTTTATAAAAGTTGATATCACCTTTTCAATTGTTGGTCTACAATATATTGAATTGGTTCCATTTTTTGATAGCTTGGAATTATATCCGCCAGACTATGAATATAGCAACTATAGTGTCAGTCTGTTTTTTGCTAGCTTTATTGCCATCGTTTCCGAATACATCACCCGTTCGGTGGCCGAATCTGATGACGAAGATCTCTACTGCATATACTCGTATTTGTGGTTCGTGACGAGGGGCACGCAATAGCCTTTTTGACTGCGTTGGATTTAAAGTACAAGGTGTTTAACTATGTAATTAAGTAATTAAAAATGAAAATTAAGTATGTCATGTAATTAAAATTAATTTCGCGTAATCAAAGCAGTGCCAGTGTAATTACTGTAATTAAAACATGTACTGCAATTTGATTACGTAAATAATGTAATTAAAAATTAATTTTCTGTAATAAATGTAATTAAAGCTACACAAATGTAATTAAAAACGTACCCAAATCCTTATTCTTGAACTATTTAAAAAAATTGAAGAAAACCCTTATATGTAACCCCCTTAGAGTGAATTAATTTATTCAAAAACTCTTCTTACACCCTGAAATACGCATATCAATGTTTTACTAGACTACAAACATGACCAATTCTGCGAATACTTATACTAAATTTCTTGGAGCACCATGCTAGAGTTGGAAACTGAAATAATCCACTCGCGACAATCGATTTCACTTTCGTTTTGTACGTTCAACATAATGTCGTATCTAGTGCACTGTATTCGTTGAATAATGCGCTTTAATGCAGAACTAGAATAAAATCGATTGTCACGAGTGGGTTATATCGGTTTACAACTCTAGCGACAATATACAGTGAAAAGGAAGTGATACTCATAATGAGGGCCGTGATTGCCATACAAATGAAATGGGAATCACTTAGTTGTAAAGACAAGTCTTCAAATTTTACATTTCCTTAAATTCAAGCAATTCCTCGAGCAATTTCCTCCCGATCAAAAAATGTTCGAATTTTAAGCCATGCTCGCAGCACAGTTCGACAGATGATGATATTATGATGATGCCTGAATTAACAGATTCAATGGAAGATGTATTTGCATTTGCATTAATTTTCTGATGTTACGCGTGAATTCTTAGATTATTTCAATATATCTTTCAAACTTAATATTATTATAGTAATAATAATTAACAGATTTAAGGCAGAGTTCATTGACAAAAAAAAATATAATCAGGTTTTGGTTGCAGACACTAAGATGATTCAAACCAATTGTGTGCTTTTATTTGTATTATCGCCAACATATGATCACATCCGTATTCAGAATTGACGCGATAGCACTTATGAAATTCGCCTCCCCATTGTTCATCTTTCCATGGGTCAACTAAACAATACTATGGGCAGAACTCCAAACCGATAGGAAACGATGAGTCCAATGTGCACAGGACACGAATTGATCGTTACCGATCAACTTGACACACTCAAGTTATCCGTGCTGGGAAGACAATTGCATACCAGCTGCGATTTTTTCCCGGAAATAGCACAGCATGTGAATGTCCAAAGTATTCACCAGCTCCAGTGTCCGTTCAGCTGTCTGGGATAGCAAATTTGAACTCTTAATATGGTCATTACCGACGGATTTACGTAAAATAATGAAGTTTGATATGTCACACGAGGGGTTCTGGTTCTTATTGGGAGTTGGAAATCTACCCGGGGGGGGGGACAATTAAATGGGACTGTGGACTGTCATATTACTAAAAAAAGTCATTTAATATTCAACGCAACTGTATCTTAAGCCTGTCTAGTATTCTTTCCACTATTTGCCATCTTTGTCATCTGGCCAAGTCTTCACAACAAAATGTACCACCATTCGATTTTTCGTTTCTCTTTGAATCATGCGGCATTTTGTCCATTCATTCTTTTGTTTCTTTTTTTTATATCTTTATTAAGGAGACTTTCAGCCGTTGGCTGGCTCGTCTCCGCCTTCCCACCATTCGAACTTTATCTTCCTTCTCATCATTGGACCATTTGTCCCTCTTTTAATCATTCTAACTTTTGTCCATTCGACATTTTGTATTTTAGACTTTTTGTCATTCAACGTTTTATTCATTCGATCATTTTATTTCGTCCTTCTTTGAATCGTTCGACCTTTTGTCTCTCTTTGA